CGCGTCAGGTATGCGTGCAAGGTGTTTTATGGTTTGCATCGTGCAAGCCAACAAATCCATGAGTGAAATGATAGCAACCAGGGGAGAGCAGAAAAATGGAACACTTGGGAGCAGGGGATGTGGAAAAAATCGTCTGCGTCCGATATCACCTCTTATTTGATCAACGTCCCCATGGCAACCCTAGACGCATCATTCTGGGCCCATTTCTCCATAACTAAGCTTCGCCCATTGAGGTAGCAGCCTGTAACGCCCCAGATAAATGACTTATCCCCGAGGTTGCAGGCTGCTACCGACGGAGAGAGTGTGGTGGTATTCATTGCCATTTAGATGCTATTCATTGCGCTGTTATTGACAATTTTTATGGCTAGAAACGTTATCATCTATTGCGCCATCCATATGCGGTCGACAGCCCTCCACTTGCCTGCCCTACAACGCAGGTGAAAGGTTTTGATGAAAGTTAAGTTTGTCACTGCTGTCTGCCTTGGTTCTGTGTACCCATTGTTTGCAGTTCCATGAAGGTTGAAGCCTTGACCGCTTCTTTTTTTAAATTTTGGTATAAACAAAAAGAGACCATACTTTTGCCATTTGGGAAACTAAAGGAACGGTGAACGTCTTCTGAAGATGTCCGTGAAGGTAGCGATTTATTCAGCGATTTTTACAGCGATGAGTTCCGATTTCGCTGAAAAAATGGCTTATTGGTCAATTGTGGCATGAGAACACCAAACAAATAATCCTTATTTTGCAACATCTTGTGACCTTTCAGGTCAAAAGCTGAGTCAAAGGACGGGTAACTCGATATCACCCAAAAATCACCGGCCGATTTTTAATTAACAAACATCAGAACATTCACCACACAAAGAACTAGCGTCCAAACTCTCAAGGTCACTCTCCAAGGTCAAACGCGGGCTCAAATGACGGGAAACTCCATATCACCCAAAAGTTACCGGCCGATCTTTAACTTTCAAAGATCAAAACATTCACCACAGAAAGAGCTAGCTTCCGTCAAAAAGTCCTGACCTCTCAAGTTTACCCTTCAAGGTCAAACGCGGGCTCAAAGGACAGAGAAGTCCATATCACCCAAAAATTACCGGCCGATTTTTATTTACGAAGATCGGAACATTCGCCACCGAAAGAGCTAGCGTGCATCAAAAAGTCCTGACCTTTCAAGTTTACCCTTCAAGGTCAAAGGTGGCCTCAAAAACAGGGAACTCCATATCACCCAAAAATTACCGGCCGATTTCTAACTAACAAAGATCGGTGCACTCACCACAGAAAGAACTAGCGTCCGTCAAAAATTCCTGACCTCTCAAGGTCACCCTTCAAAGCCAAACACGGGCTCAAAGGACGGGGAACTCCATATCACCCAAAAGTTACCGGCCGATTTTTAACTAACAAACATCAGAACATTCGTCACAAAAAAACCTAGTGTCCGTCAAAAAGTCCTGACCTCTCAAGGCCACCCTTCAAGGCCAAACGCGGGCTCAAAGGACGGGGAACCCTATATCACCCAAAAACTACCAGCTGATCTTTAACTTACAAAGATCAAAACATTCACCACAGAAAGAGCCGTCCGTCCGTCCGTCAAAAAGTCCCTTCTTCTGAAGGTCACCCTTCAAGGTCAAACGAGGGCTCAAAGAACGGGAAACTCCATATCACCCAAAAATTACCGGTCAATTTTTACCATTCAGCGATCAAAACATTCACCACAGAAAGAGCTAGCGTCCGTCAAAAAGTCCTGACCTCTCAAGGTTGCCCCTCAAGGTCAAACGCGGGCTCAAAAGACAGAGAACTCCATATCACCCAAAAATTACCGGCCGATTTTTATTTTACAAAGATTGGAACATTAACCACAGAAAGAACTAACGTTCATCAAAAAGTCCTGACCTCTCAAGGTCACCCTTCAAGGTCAAACGCGGGCTCAAATGACGGGGAGCTCCATATCACCCAAAAATTACCTGCGAGATCTTTAACTTACCGAGGTCAAAACATTCACCACAAAAAGAGCTAGCGTCCGCCAAAAATCCCTACCTCTGAAGGTCACCCTTCAACGTCAAACGCGGGTTCAAAGGACGGGGAACTGAAATCGCCGCTCACCTGCACCACCAATCATGGAATCGCCGCTCACCTGCAAACTTCCCAGCAGTTGCATGTAAGCCGTTCGGCCAGACGTCGATAGCGCAGCGCCCAGCGGGCCGTGGTTATCCCGGAATGAGACAGAGTGTTCAGCCGGGACAGGCCAGGAAAGGGTCCGCCGCGACGTGTCTGACCGCAAGCCAGAACTCGGCACCGCCAGCCAGCAAGGCCTCCACGCGGCGCGTCAAGCGTGCAACCTTCCCCTATCCAACTCACAGCTGGAGCACAGATGCTGCTCCCCTCGCGGCGCGATGTCCGCGCCTCGCCACCCGCCCCCCAGCGCGTCCGGGGTTAGTCTGTCCGGCGCGCCCCCTCCCTCCCATGTCCTTCCCATCAAGCGTCACATCGCGCAGGCGCACAACACCACTCTGCTATTTCTGCTCGGATCTGGCTCGAATGGTTGGCGCAGTTCGCGCACGCGCAGCTCGTGGGGTGACGGGTGCATGCGGTGATATTGTGGGGGCGATAAGTCTGTTCAAAACGAGCAAACCGGTCCTCGCCACGGACATATCTGAGATCGCGGTAATGTAAGAGCGTCAACCGGTCAGGTCAGGCTTAGCGGAAGGGGGAGGGGGCACTTGAGCGCGAGGCTGAATGCTTAGAAGACATTGCGAGCTTGCTTCAAAAGATGCAGTTTGCATTGGTGCTGGCCGTGTACTCGCGTAGTCGGAGGCTATGAACGTAGTGTATTGAACAGCCAGCTGCTGTCTCCACATGCATCTGACATCAGTCTTGCTAGCGCGCGTCAGGTATGCGTGCAAGGTGTTTTACGGTTTGCATCGTGCAAGCCAACAAATCCATGAGTGAAACGATAGCAACCAGGGGAGAGCAGAAAAATGGAACACTTGGGAGCAGGGATGTGGAAAAAATTGTCCGAGTTCGATATCACCTCTTATTTGATCAACGTCCCCATGGCAACCCTAGACGCATCATTCTGGGCCCATTTCTCCATAACTAAGCTTCGCCCATTGAGGTAGCAGCCTGTAACGCCCCAGATAAATGACATCCCCGAGGTTGCAGGCTGCTACCGACGGAGAGAGTGTGGTGGTTTTCATTGTCATTTAGATGCTATTCACTGCGCTGTTATTGACAGTTTTTATGACTAGAAACGCTATTATTTGTTACGCCGTCCATATGTGGTCGACAGCCCTCCGCTTGCCCGCCCTACAACGCAGGTGAAAGGTTTTGATGAAAGTTAAGTTTATCACTGCTGTCTGCCTTGGTTCTGTGTATCCATTGTTTGCAGTTCCATGAAGGTTACAGCCTTGACCGCTTCCTTTTTTATTTTTAGTATAAACAAAAAGAGACCATACTTTTGCAATTTGGGAAACTAAAGGAACTGTGAACGTCTTCTGAAGATGTCCGTGAAGGTAGCGATTTATTCAGCGATTTTTACAGCGACGAGTTTCGATTTCCCTGAAAAATGGTTTCTTGGCCAATTGTGGCATGAAAGCACCAAAAATAACCCTTATTTTGCAATATCGTATGACCTTCCAGGTCAAAAGCTGAGTCAAAGGACGGGTAACTCGATATCACCCAAAAATCACCGGCCGATTTTTAACTAGCAAACATCAGAACATTCACCTCACGAAGAACTAGCGTCCGTCAAAAAGTCTTGAACTCTCAACGTCGCTCTTCAAGGTCAAACGCTGGCTCAAATGACGGGGAACTCCATAGCAGCCAAAAGTTACCGGCCGATCTTTAACTTTCAACGATCAAAACATTCACCACAGAAAGAGCTAGCTCCCGTCAAAAAGTCCTGACCTTTCAAGTTTCCCCTTCAAGGTCAAACGCGGGCTCAAAAGACAGAGAAGTCCATATCACCCAAAAATTACCGGCCGATTTTTATTTTACGAAGATCGCAACATTCGCCACAGAAAGAGCTAGCGTGTGTCAAAAAGTCCTGACCTCTCAAGTTAACCCTTTAAGGTCAAACGCAGGCTCAAAAACAGGGAACTCCATATCACCCAAAAACTACCGGCCGATTTCTAACTAACAGAGATCGGCGCATTCACCACAGAAAGAACTAGCGTCCGTCAAAACGTCCTGACATCTCAAGGTCATCCTTCAAAGTCAAACACGGGCTCAAAGGACGGGGAACTCCATATCACCCAAAAATTACCGGCCGATTTTTAACTAACAAACAACAGAACATTCGTCACAGAAAAAGCTAGCGTCCGCCAAAAAGTCCTGACCTCTCAAGGTCACCCTTTAAGGTCAAACGCGGGCTCAAAGTGCGGGGAACTCCATATCACCCAAAAATTACCGGCCGATTTTTGCTTTTCAAAGATCAAAACATTCACCACAGAAAGAGCTAATGCCCGTCAAAAAATCCTTACCTCTGAAGGTCACCCTTCAAGGTTAAACGCTGGCTCAAATGACGGGGTACCACATATCACCCAAAAAATACCAGCCGATCTTTAACTTACAAAAATCAAAACATTTACCACAGAAAGAGCTAGCGTCCGTCAAAAAATCCCTAATTCTGAAGGTCAGCCCTCAAGGCCAAACGAGGGTTCAAAGAACGGGGAACTCCATATCACCCAAAAATTACCGGCCGATTTGTATTTTACAAAGATCGGAACATTCACCTCAGAAAGAACTAGCGTCCGTCAAAAAGTCCTGACCTCTCAAGGTCACCCTTCAAGGTCAAACGCGGGCTCAAATGACGGTAACTTGATATCACCCCAAAATTACCAGCAAGATCTTTAACTTACCAAAATCAAAACATTCACCACAAAAAGAGCTAGCGTCCGCCAAAAATCCCCACATCTGAAGGTCACCCTTCAAGGTCAAACGCGGGTTCATAGGACGGGGAACTGGAATCGCCGCTCACCTGCACCACCAATCATGGAATCGCCGCTCACCTGCAAACTTCCCAGCAGCTGCATGGAAGCCGTTGGGCCACGTCAATAGCGCAGCGCCCAGCGGGCCGTGGTTATCCCGAAATGAGACGGAGTGCTCAGACGGGACAGCCCACGAAGGGGTCGGCCGCGACGGGTCCGACCGCAAGCCAGAACTCGGCACCGCCAGCCAGCAAGGCCTCCACGCGGTGCGTCAAGCGAGCACCGCTTCCCCTACCCAACTCACAGCTGGAGCACAGATGCTGCTCCCCTCGCGGCGCGATGTCCGCGCTTCTCCGCCCGCCCCCCAGCACGTCCGGGGTTAGTCTGTCCGGCGCGCCCCCTCCCTCCCATGTCCCCCCTCCCCATCATGCGTCACATCGCGCAGGCGCACAACACCACTCTGCTATTTCTGCTCGGATCTGGCTCCAATGGTTGGCGCAGTTCGCGCACGCGCAGCTCGTGGGGTGACGGGTGCATGCGGTAATATTGTGGGGGCGATAAGTCTGTTCAAAACGAACAAATCGGTCCTCGCCCCAGACATATGAGATCGCGGTAATGGAAGAGCGTTGACCGGTCAGGTCAGGCTTAGCAGGAGGGGGAGGGGGCACTTAAGTGCGAGGCTGAATGATTAGAAGACATGGCGAGCTCGCTTCAAAAGATGCATTTTGCATTGGTGGTGGCCATGCACTCGCGTAGTCAGAGGCTAGGAAAGTAGAGCACTGAACAGCCACCTGCTGTCCACCCCACGTATGTAGCATCAGTATTGCTGGCGCGCGTCAGGTATGCGTGCAAGGTGTTTTACGGTTTGCATCATGCAAGCCAACAAATGCATGAGTTAAATGATTGTAAGCAGGGAAGAGCAGAAAACTGGAACACTTGGGACCAAGGGACGTGAAAAAAAGGTCCGCGTCCGATATCACTTCTTATTTAAACAACGTCCCATGACAACCCTAGACGCATCATTCTGGGCCCAGTTCTACATGACTAAGCTTCGCCCATTGAAGTAGCAGCCTGTAACGCCTCACATAAACGACTTATCCCCGAGTTTCCAAAACTCCTTTAAGTCCAGTTAAGGCGAAGAAATATAAATAGGTGATTTACCGGCGGGGATAGAGTGGCGGTATTCATTGCATTTAGGTACAATTCATTGCGCTGTTATTGGCAAGTTGTATTGTTGGAAACACTATTGTTTATTGCGCCATCCATATGCGGCCAACAGCCCTCCGCTTGCCTGTCATAAAAGGCAGGTGAAAGGTTTTAACTAAGGTTAAGTTTATCACTGCTGTCTGCCTTGGTTCTGTGTATGCATTGTTTGCAGCTCCATGAAGGTTAAAGCTCTGACCGCTTCCTTTCTTTATTCTAAGATAAGCTTAAAGAGACCACACTTTTGCAATTTGGGCATTTAAATGAACGGCGAACGTCTTCTGAAGACGCCACCATTTCAAACGTTTCCATTGAGCCCAGGCCGTGGCATGGACATCGAAGCTCACAAAGCCCGCTTTGCTGCTATCTTCCTACGTCTGCAAATGCAAAGTGCATGTGCACCAACTTACTACCTCTTCACTTGCATGACATTATGCTACATCCCATACATACCTGATATTGAATACACATGCTTCCATACACATGATGCTCAGGTTCATAAAACTGTTTCGGGTCGTGAATTCCACTTGGAAGTACCGCAAGCGATGACGTTTTTGTTTCGTAGCGCATGCCGCATGCTGCATTTCAGCACGTCGGCTGTTCAAAAAGGACTAGGAGCTCTGTGCGCGGCTAACATGACGAGACGCGGGGGAAACTTGACAATTCAGCGCGCCTCCATACCGCAGCACGAAAGCGTCTTCATGAGCCTCACAGCTGACTGGACGCGCTAAGGAAGCGGCAGGTGTCGCCACCGGCATTGTGCTTCTTCGGTTACACACATCGTCTCAAGTCGAATGGGTTGTTACGTAGCATATTCCAAGCAGCAATGCGTTAATGAGGGCTTTTAGTTCTGATATCAGTATGTCGTGGTCTGGGCACACTGCTGTCGCATATGTATGACCTGACCTCCATGACGAATGCGACGCTTGCTACCCATCAAGACGGCCTGCGCGGGAAATCACGATGCCGGGAAGCACCCTCCCATCCCTGACACGAGCGAAAGGGCTGACCACGGCTGAGTGCGTGGTACGCTCTGGTGGCAGTGCGTGGTACGCCGCGGTGTTAGTGCGTGGTACGCCCTGATGGTAGTGCGTGGTACGCCCTGGTGGTAGTGCGTGCTACGCCGTGGTTGTAGTGCGTGGTACGCCCTGGTGGTAGCGCGTGGTACGCCGTGGTTGTGGTGCGTGGTACACCCTGGCCGTAGTGCGTGGTACGCCCTGGTGGTAGTGCGTGGTACGCCCTGGTGGTAGTGCGTGGTACGCCCTGGTGGTAGTGCATGGTAAGCCGTGGTTGTAGTGTGTGGTACGCTCTGGTGGTAGCGCGTGGTACGCCGTGGTTGTAGTGCGTGGTACACCCTGGCGGTAGTTCGTGGTACGCCGTGGTGGTAAGCCGCATACATACCCGCCGTCGTAAACGCATCCGCCGCTCGAAGGATGCTCACAGCAAGGCCGTACGAGGGCTGGTTCCCAGTGCCGATTCACAGTGCCACCGGCCTCGTCACACGCCGTCGCATGCGACCTCGACGAGCCTGGCGACCCCGGTCGGCGCGCCCCACTTCCTGTCACTGCTGCGGAAGTCCCGCTGCGGCGCGCGCTCCGGCTATGTGCGAGCGTGCTCTCTGCACCGCACCGCCACTTCCGGTCGGCCTGGGCGCAACTGGCGACTTGTACAGCGGAAAGCTCTTCGACCCTAAAGACGCTTATCTGCGGATAGAGCTCCGGCTCCGGTTGTCACAGGGCCTTGGCTCCGGCCCATTAACGCGGCCGTGACGGGCTGCGACTGCAGGCGCTGTTGGGTTGGTGCGACACCTGTGGCAAACATTGGCATCGCGCGCCCGGTTCACCTGCATACTGCACCTGCACACAAATGCTCAAAACTGTTACTTAGACTATATCCTGACGTTGAACTGTGCTTAATGATCAGTGGGATGGAAATAAACCCAGGACCCCTAGCAATCAAGCATGTCACAATATCACGTTTCAACATAAGCAACATCACATCTCCAGGACGCCTGGGCAAGCTTGCTCTCTTCACCACATATAACGACATTGACATCTTGCTTCTGATTGAAACCAAACTTGACTCACAGGTCCATCCTAGCTTGTTCAATTTACACAACTACCACAACCCAATGACAAAGCACATGACTGGACATGGAGGGGAAATAGCAGCATACTTTAATTCAACACTACCAGCAAAGAGACTACCTGATCTCGAACTGGAAGGAGTTGAATGGGTTTGGTCCCTTACCAAGATCAAACCAGAAGTTATTGTGGTTTGCTGCGTCTATGTCCCACCCAATCTCTCCAGCACTCAACTGGCAGAGTTTATGGATATCTTGTCAGCGTTGGCATGGCACAAACATATAGCCCTACATCGATATTGATAATGGGAGATTTCAATGCTGGTAACAGCTATCCTCATTAATCAGCCTACACGCATTACACAAGACACAGCCAACTTGCGAGACTTAATACTGACATCTAACACAAGCATCATTCCAGGCAGTGGGGTTCTCTTCCCCCCCCCCCTTTCACTAATAGATCACATTCCTACCTTTGTCACTATCAAGGTTGCATCAGCACCCGTAAAGGCATCAGCCAAACAAGTATAGGACTACATAAACATAGGTGTAGACAAACTCTCACAGCTTCTGGCAAACACAGACTGGGACAGAGTGCTTAATCATGACATTGACAAAGCGACAAATAACTTCCCGCAGACCATGCTCGCAGCTGCTGCTGAAGCCATCCCAACTAAGATAGTCAGGATGAGGAACTGTGGCAAACCTTGGGTCAATGCTGCACTAAAGGGAGAGATGAGAAGAGACAGGATTTTCAGACTTGCTCAGAGGTATATGATTGAAGACCACTGGGACCGCTTGCAACAGCAAACTTTACCACATACATGAGCAGACGACTTAAGAACAATCATTTCCAACATCAAGTAAACAACCTCTTGCATGCAAAGCAAAACTCACATAAGTACCATAACATTCTTAAACAAATGATAGGACGGACACGAGCTGAGACATAGCCACCCCTCGTAGGACCTGATTCAACCCCATTGACAGAGGACATGATAAAGCTAACCTACGAGGTGACTTTTTTGCCAGACAATCACAGCTCACAACTGACGGCCTACCTGTCCCCGAGACCGCGCTTGCGGATCCATCACCCACGTTAGATAGCATAACCATTACAGAGGATGATATACTGAGCGCACTCAACTCTCTCGATCCAAACAAATCATGCGGTTCTGACAATTCCCCAGCAAATATATTAAAAATGACTGCCATAGTCCTAAATACTCCACTTACTAAACTGTTCAACATGTCACTAACACAAGGTATTTTTCCTTCCACCTGGAAAAAAGCAAAGGCTTATCTCACTTTTAAAAACAAAGGGTCAAACTCGGATCTTGCTAACTACAGACCAATCAGTTTACTTCCTGGTGTGGAAAATTATTGACAGAATTATCTTTAATAGTATCTATCAACACCTAGTTGAGAATGGACTGCTCTCGGAGAAGCAAAGTGGTGACCTTCCAAAACATGGCACACAAGTTCAGCTGGTATATTTCATTAACAATCTTTATGCAGCTTTGGACCGAGGCAATACCTTTACAGCCACTTACTTGGAAATTAGCAAGGCCATGTAGTAAGGTATAATCATCCTGGGATTTTTCCGGCACTTTCCCTTCACTATCACTGAGACGTCACAAATTCGCAGCCCGACATCACCTCTCCGCCTGCATTATCTTCGCGTCTGCTACCCCGGTGCACCTACTAACAAATGCATCTGGTGATCACCACAGGGTGCTATAAGAAGTTTCATCAGGAAATATGAAAGGGGGATTTTTTTTTGCCACGCTGGGTGCATAACAGCTAACAGAGGCCTAGAAACCGAGAGCCTGTGTGCCATGGCACTCCCACTTGCTGAGGATGCCAAACATTGAGTCTATGGCGATGTATTGAATTTGGCCAGCCTACAGTTGCTTAAATGCAGGCTGGCGAGCCTGCCCGAAGTCCAGCCACGGCCAAAGGGGGAACTGACCGGCACCAGGATCATCATCCAAACTGTCGCGC